TTTTTTTTTTAAACCAAGTGTGCAAAAAGGCTGGAGGCTTGCCTCAGTGCCTAACACACAGCTGGACAGACTAGGAGGAATCCACAATGAGATGCCAGTACAAAGTATCAAAGTAATAACATACAAAGACAACAATACCAAGTTCAGCCTTAATAACTGCTGTTTGGGTTGCAAATGGGTACAAATGCCATGGGAAATTGTGCGAAAATGTCTACATTTGAATTTCTGGAGAGCCAGACGTTTTACCTCTAAAATTACATAAATATATACATTAAGGGATATATAGAAGAATGTTCATAGAATCATCATTTGTAGTAATCAAGTATTAAAAACAACTCAAATGGATGAAGTAAGGAGTAGCTAGTCACAAATGAAACAATATATGGCAAAAATCAGTGAACTCTAGGCACATATGTCAGTAAATGGCACAAATACAATGTTGAGCCAAAAATATACAAAAGAGTACATACTGTGTAGGAATAATACTATTACACACAAATTTCAATGGCAAGCTGGATGCTGGTAGCCTCTGTAATCCTAGTTACTTAGAAGACTAAGACTTAAGGATTGCAGTTCAAAGCCATTCTGGACAGATGCTTATCTCAAATTAACCACTAACAAGCCAGAAGTAGAGCAGTGGCTCAGGTGGTAGAGCAAGTGCTAGCCTTGAGTGAAAAAGCTCAGGGACAGTGCCAGAACCTGAGTTCAAGCCCAAGACCACACACACACAGACACACACACACTCTCTCTCTCTCTCTCTCTCTCTTTCTCTTTCTCTCTCTCTCTCTCTGTTAATGGGAAAAATCTAATCTGTGGTGAAAGAAAGCAATGTAGTAGCAGCTAAGGGGAAAGCACTGGCAGGGAGGGGCACATAGAGTGCTGTGGGGATTGGTGATGCTCCGCCTTCTAATTTGATTGACTGTTCCCGAACAAATCTAACAAATTCCTAACAAAAATGTTCAAATATTCATTGAGCTTTATACTTCAGATTTCTTCACTCTCTTATGGGTATATTCATCTTCAGTTATTAAAAACACAAGTATTTGTTCAGGTGTCTAAACATAGACTTGGCTGGGATGTAGCTTGATGACAGAGTTTGCCTAGCATGTGAGTTTAATTCCCAGCACAGGAAGGATGGAAAGGAAGGAAGGAGAGAAGGAAGGAAGTAAAGGAGGGAGGAAGGGAGGGAAGGAAGGCAGGCGCAATTCCTTCTCTAAAGGTAGCTTACCAATTTCCATGATACTATCATCACTCAAAGTCTGGAAGAAGGAGAGGACTCGGAGGCATGGAAGCTGTTGACACTGCTGGACAATCAGTTTGGCCACTTGTTGAATTCCATCCCCAGTGGGTAGGTTCAGTTCTTCCAGCTTAGTAAGAGAACCCAAGGCTGAAGCTGTCAAAGGGGACAAAAAAAGAGTTTTAAGAAGTGGAGAAGGAAGTGGCGCTGTAGCTCAAGTGGTAGAGCGATCGCCTTGAGTTAAATAGCTGAGGGACAACGCCCAGGCCCAGAGTTCAAGCCCCACGACTGACAAAAAAAAAAAAAAAAGAAAGAAGTGGAGAAGGAGAAAGGGAGAGCAACACAGGGTTGAGGCTGATGGGTGTACATTGCATCTGTAGGTGGAAATGTAATAACAAACTCTACCCTGCTCCTTCAACTAATCTATGCTAATAAAAACGTTCATCTCTTCTGATTG